CATTTCTGTGTGCGCCACGGAGGGCTCGTTTGTTCCTTGACTTTTGGCCGAGGGGGATCAACTCCCCTCTTGGATTCGCGACTCGCCACGATTTTGTCAGATCAACAACGGACTTACATTACTTACGTGTATCGTCTCTTTAACGGAGTTAGGCGCACTCGAATGACAGGGGTGGAGGTCATTTTGCCGGTCGAATCTTTAAATAATCCATCAGCTTTCCATTAATAAATAACGCTTTGTCTGGCTTGTCTAACGGCGTGTCTGAATTTCATCTTTTTTTTATTTATTCCGGGAAAGACTCGTAAACGGAAACTGCTTGTTTTCGTAATAGCTGTTCTTTATTTTTGTCACTATCCTGTCAGTTAATTGCGTCGACATCATATAACATTCGCCGTTTCTTCCTCTTCCATCCGTGACCAACTGTTCTCCATGATGATGTATTTCCCGCGAATTGTTATGTTCTGTATTGTGCGAAAGACATATGTCGATATCTTCAAGCATCGCAAATATTGCTCGAGATAATGACAGCAACAAATTGATATTATTATACTTGAGACAATTAAAAGATTTAATTTTAATTGTAATATTAATTTTAATTAACAATTCGCGTTATTAATTTAGATATGAATTTTAGGTAAGATCACACATGTCAATTTAATATAGAGTGTCACTACTGATAGCTAATAAAGAACGAAGATTTGCCAAAACCGAACTTTTTTTTTTTTTTTAGTACGATGTTAAAATTCGCATAATATGAGTTTAAATATTTTCACTAATTTTTTTACACTTTTCCGCGTTAATTTGTCGCGCACTTTGTAATAGTCTCGTAAATTCTCTTCCACAATTCAACCTTCGTTTCGACGTCCTTCTCTTTTTCGTTACGTAATCTCGAGATGCGCGTCTCCGACAGATGTGCGTCTCTCCGTGCGACGTCGTCGCTGCTGCGACGTCGAGGGTCGACGACGTATCACATCGACGCTTCGAATGATGATGGGTGTCGGTGTACGAGATCGGTTTCCGGACTGGTCGCGCTTCCGGGATCGCACTCCATGAGTTTGACAGTTTTCGCGGACCGCGAAAAGCCTGCCGGCCGTTTAGAGTCACCGGGCGAAACTAGTCGACGCGTAACTACATCACTGCCGCGGTCTTTATCCCTACCGCGAGCTACCTCTTCTTCGTCAGTTTCTTCATCGCGCGTCACGAAACCACCGCCGCGAGTCTCTCTCTTTCTAGCCCTCGCGACTATTTAAATCTTTTGTAGTCCCTCGTGGTCCCGCGACGCCAGGACCGTGTTATCGCACCGGGGCAATGATACCAGATTAGTGCATTTCTTTCCATTTCCTCCAAGAAAAAAAGAAATTCTTAATTGACAGAATGATATATGTAAAAGTAATATACAGAAATTATTTTACGATTGTGAAATTTTTAAGTGACGAAGCGTAAAGCTTTCGGTGGCATTTATGAAATGATACCGTTAAAGACCAGAAAATATTGTTGTTATTTTCTAGTCACAAGTTTGGTTGAAATATGTGAAAAATTGATAGAGTGTGCTAAGATTGCGTAATGGAAAGTACAAATCTTTTATGAAGAAAAGAGATAGATAAATTCTCTCATAACTTTTGTTTTAAATTTTATTTTATTGAAAATATATTTTTGCAGAAAATATATAAAAATATTTTATATTGAGTTTCTCGATAAGTTTCTCTTCATGCATCTGACATTATTGCTAGGTAACACCAGGATGCTCCGGTACTGATCAACGTCATTCTATCTCTTTTGATGTTATTTTAGAAACGTCGCTGGAAGCGTTCTTATACATTTTTATTATGCGCCTTGACCGTAATATTACGCAAAAGCTATAATCTCGAGTGAGAAAAATCTTTTTTTTTTCCGGCAAGTTTATATATCATTTAAATTTATATACTTGTATTCATTGTAAAGCTGCTGCGCTATACGTTAAATATATCGATAATAAGAACATATCATCTATATATATGTCAAACTTGAATTCTTCTAGTGTGATGATCACGTTTCAGACATACTTTGAACTTTATATTCTTTTTTTTAACAATTATTTTTAGTAATTTAATATTGTTTCTTTGTGAGGAGTAGCATTGTTGCTTCTTATGTCTAACATCATCAGTTTTGAAGTCCGACGGTGCGATATTTTTGATATTGAAGAAATTCGGTGTCGGTGCAACCCGGGGCGATGATAAATTGTTCATTAGACCGGCGCCGTTTCTTCACGCGGCGATGTAATCTATCAAGAGGTTGAAAAAGGACTCAAAATAATCTCCTGACGTAGGTGGCGTCTGGTTTTCCCATCGAGTATGAGATGGGAAAAAGAGAAGAGCCGATAGATTGATCCAGCAACTCACTTTGAATCCTCTCGGCGTGCTGTCAGTTTTTCTAATCGTGGAGGATTTTCTTCGCACGTTACTTGAATGCACTACGATAATCCGGCTGCATAATGTGCCGGAAGGGACAAAAAAGCTCAGACGCTATCTTGATTTGACGAGAGTGTCAGACACTCTTTTTCTGTTTGACATATGTATATTAGGTGGTTCTAAATCGTTTCTAATTAATCATTTCGTAACTATATAAATAATTATATAACATATAAATTTTGTAGTTAAATTATGTTACCGCATTGTTTTTTTTTCGATAAATGATTATAAAAAATATATTTGAAATGTTTTTTTTTATATAGAATATATATGTCGTGACTCAACCTCATTAATAGTTAAAACTGTTCGAAATTTCCGAGTTTTATTGATCTATCGGCGGGGGCGATTAAAGTCGAAATTAATTTGACGTTTCTACAGCATTATATAGATAATTTATATGTAAGTATATTATATATAAGCTAGCATTTAGGTCTCGGAGTCTGTACAGCGTCGACATCTGGACCTCGAGTTCCGAGAGAACAAACGCCACCCCGGAATATTTGCCAAAACAAAGCTTTTCTTGGCTCCTCGGGTAAATAAATCTCGACGAAATCACGTACATGCATGCGATTCATACACGTATCGTCATTCAAACTTTTTGCATTAACGTCATACTTTCGCGCAACATATCCGTTCAAGTTTATTCCTGAATTATAATTAACACGTAATATCTATAATATCTAAAAGATATATAATATGACGCATATGTACCTACCATTATCGATTGATTTTCTTCGAAAGTATGCGTTCGATCAAACAATCGATTTCAACGATAATCTCTTATGTGTTGCTTTCCATATTAGAGAACTCTCGGTAATATGGTAAATCGACTGATAATTTCACTTCTAGACGCGATTAACTTCTTTTTTAATTTATTCAATTCGTATAACTTAAGTTTTATAAATTCGTTAATTAAATTAGTCACATCTATGTGGATTCATCACGTTCACTTTTAATTACAAGTCACTTGTAATTTTTTTCTCTTTTACTTAGTTTGTTAAGACACTGTTTTTCACGTCAAAATAAAGCTGTTATGTAATGAAAGAAAACATTTTTTTTTTTTTGTACAAAGTGGAATGCGGATGCGTTTTGCGTTTTCTTAAGCTCGCTCGAGCGCATTTAGTAACTGAGTCAAGTCTGCTGGATCGCGTTTGCCGCTACTATAGAAACTGTGCTACTCGCGCTTATCCAACTGGACAAATTCAGCGTGTGCAGGCCGGGTTTCGAAAATAGTTCGTAGTAGGTTCGTACGATATACGGCGACTTCAATCTTGTGTATGCGCGTGTCTATTTGTAGGCGATTCCGGCGCGATGCAGTTTACGAGATTTAGCTATAGCCGCATAATGAAATTCTCGATGTCATAAAATTATATTTTACTGCTTATATGCGATATAATTCATAATGACAAATTCATAATTAATAATAGCAATGGCAGTGAGATTTGCGAGGCTAGTGAGATCCATTTAAAATGTCATTTAATTTCAGCGAGCAAAATTGCGTCGAATAAATTTATTAAAACCTGCCTCAAAAATCTTCAATTAATTTCACAATGTATTTAAAAAGGGTAAAAGAGAGAGAGAGAGAGAGAAAAAAGAGCAGCATTTTCTACGGAAGGATAATCCACTGTGTAAAACTTTAACGACATATTCTTTAATGAGTTTAAGATCGACTTGTTCTTTTTTTCGAAAATGTGATGAGATACTTTGTGTATCTTCGAGATGTCAGCTTCATTTTTTATCGTGAAATATTTGCTAACTTTAATAGAATAATAAAAGCTTGGAATTGCTCTTTTCCATGATATATCAAAAATTCCTTTAACACGGTAGTTAAATTAATTCTTGATTGCTCTGGCGCAGTCATACTCCAGAGAATTAAATATTTAACATTATTAGTTGGTCTGGCCTGCCACTAACGCGTAATGGAAGTCCCGGTGAAATTAATTTGGCCTCCGAGTGTGAATTGTCTATAATGACAAATTAATAATTCAAACAATGGCGTTCAGAGCAATTGCGCTAGTAAAATTCACGTGAATATTCTCTGGACATTTAGCATGGAAAGAGAAACATATACCATTTTGTAAATAATAGATAAACTGCATAAATAACAATACTTGAAAACCTGAAAACAATGAAAAATAAATTTACCGTAGCATTATGCTTGAATCTTTGGAATAAGATTACAGTTTTATTTATCTGAAGATATATTTTTTTTTTTTTTTAGAGTTTTTTATAGCGAAGCATCTATCGTTAATCTCAATGCATATTTCTTTGTCGAAAAAAATGAGAAAAATTTGGTGAAATTTTTCTGTTTCTCTAAGTATATCGAAAATTGTACTAACTTGTTTATCCGTTGCAAACATTCTCATTAACTCCATGCGATCAAGTCGAGCGAGAGGATGAATAATAACCGCTATTATAACGTTCTTTTATAACGACATATTCACACGATCTCCCCCTTTTTCCCCGCTTTTTATCCCCCTAATTCATCGATAGATTCGCGCGAGCTGCCGCACGCCCGCGTAAATTCTCCCTCGTATTAACCCCCTTCTTTACCTTGCTCCACCTCGGCATTGATGTGAATGGTTCTCAGTCTGAGTTCCTCGTTCTCGTAAATCATCCCCCTTGAGGACTTCCGGTCGAGTTTTCTATTTGGCTTGACGCTGACATCCCTCCGCCTGGTTCTCAGCATCCCGGCACCGCCGACGCCGCCCACCCCCGCGCCCGCCATCATCCCTTTCCTGCGCCACTTGTCTCGTCTACTTTTTCCGCGCACGGTATGTGGTGTATTACAAAGAGCGGATCACGATAAGCGGTCGATTGTCCGCGACGATCAGCGCAGCCTCTCGAAAGGATCAGCACGCGACTCTCCCTCTCTTGTTCTCTTCCTTTTCGCGTGAAACTTTCGCGAGATACGCGCGCCCTTCCTCGTGACTATTTGATCCTTTGTTTGATCTTTGACGTTACTCAAGGAAAGTTTCGAGCAGGAGGATTTTACTCGACTTTTGCGACTATGACTTGGCCACTCGACGTTCTTTCTATCGTGTAGGCAAATCCGAGGGTCCGTTTCAAGGAGTTTGCCTTAATCCTTGATACGTTACACCGTGAGATATCTCATCTTGAAGCACCCGCACTTTCTTTAGATCGTTTCTTCCGTTGTGGATTTTGAGATCAAAACCTTGTTGTCACTAAACACATAATCACTTTCTTTCGTCTAGCTTGATGAACTTTTTGTATTAATATTCGTATAATAATACGAGAGAAATTGTTCAAATAATTATAAAATTATTTTTATTGATATTATATATATATAATATAAAAACTCTTTTTTCCGTTAGATTTTATCACTGGAAAATTATTTCTAGCCAGCATCTCTTAACAAGCATCTTCGATCGTTTTTATTAACTCGAGATCAATAATGAAAAATTAGTTTTGATGTTCTTATATTTATATTATTACGTTATAATAACTCAGTATTATAGAAAGATGCGCTGTACGATAGGGTATAAGATGCGCGGAGATATATCTGATCTCGAGGACGACGCGACGCAAAGTCGCTTCCTCTAGTTAAAGCGGAACTATACGTTTCTCGAATAATCGCACAGTCACTCTGCCGGCAAAGAGTCTGCATCAATCCCGGGGAACAAACCTGGGAAGCGAGGTGTAATTGATGCCGCAGAAACTCCGGGAAGACCGACAGACGCCTTACGGACTCGCCGAGTCACTCTCTATTGTGAAGACTATACACGTTGGTTTGTAGTACCGCGAAGTTTGTACACGTCGGCTCGTAATATCACGAAGACTATAGAGAGACGTAATATCGTCACGCTGCTGCATCGTGAGATCAGGGTTAAGAGCTGTTGACGTTGGAGAATAATCTGCGCCGAAAATTTCGTATATACACGTTGGTTCGCAAAGACCATTTGTGTCAGTATCTCGCAGATTGTATATCTTCTTGGTTCATAGCGAAGACCGTATCGAGAGTTATCGATGCTATAATAACGTAACGTCTATGATTTCCGGTGTATTGATACTCGATGTTGTATTAACTTAACGGAAATTCTCCACCGGGGCGGTTTACTAATTGGCAAGTTCTCCCGGAAATTACACGTCTCTCGTCGGATCGTCACGGATACGACGAGGAACGGTCAGCTTCGTGGACCCGTCCGCGATCGCGTCGTGCCGTTTAGAAGGAATTACAGCGTCCGGCAGCATCGGTCGTCGCGTCGCCCTCGCGGCCGGAAGAATTTGCATCGGGCACTCATTTCTCACGCGGTATTCCTCGCACGCAATTTGCGTCCCCATTACTCAGCGTTTATCAGCGTGCTCGGACGACCACCTCTCGTACTTTCAAGCTCCGTCCTTTCGTTTTTTTTTTTTTATTTTTTTCTTCTCTTCTTTTTCCCCTCCTCAGTCTCTCTATTTTGTTTTGTCTTTCTCTTCTAATTTGTTTTGCACGTCCGCGCGGCACACGCGAGGGAATTTATCTCGTCGCTCGGACGGATTCTCTGCAATCTTTTGGCTGGCTGCGCCGGTCATCGGTCGACTACCATGGCCTGTTATGTATGCCGAGACTTTCGCCCCTAGGCCGGTGATTATTCACGAGGGACTTAAAGTTGCGGGGCTGAAGTTTTAGCTTCTAGTATTTAGTTTCTTTTCTATTCGCTGGGGACGCCGCTCGTGCGTTCGCACAAAAATTGCTCTCGCGAGGACGATAAGTGGTTGCGATGTGAAATGCACTGCAGCTGTTGCAAAACAATTATCCGCGATGATGCGTCACTCGAAGACTCGTTGGTCCTTGAAATATGCGTTAAAGTCAAGTTGAAGTAAATGACATGGTGATTATTAGTCGACTTCAGGAACACTTGCGCGTTTTTTGTCATTTCTATCTCCTTTTCACATCTTGCCATTGAATGAAGCGATAATTTCGTTGTTAGTGATCTGAAAAAATATATATGTTAAAAATTATATAATAATCATAGAATTATTTTATTGTCATATCATATGTCGAATATTTAGTATTGAATATTTATTATAATATAGTATCGGGTATTACATATTATATATGGTATCAGATATTATATTATATCGAATATTTTTTAATGGAAATATAAAGTAATTATCAATATCTCATTCTTTTTTAATAGTCCTTTGATTAAATTGTTGCGTTTATCAGATATCGATTGTTTTAGTCGTTGCAAAAATCGAATATTTGCTCGTCAGTAAAAATGGCTAAAAGTCACAATAAAAGCTTTCGTTCAAATAACAAAAATGTCAATATTATTGTAGAAACTCTCGTGAATGAAGGTTTTATTTGCCCGCGAAACTTCGAAAGAAGTCAGGAGGAATACACGCAGGAACTGATTTAAAACCTTGCAGACAACTTCACTTGTAGAGAATTGCTTTGCGTATCGTAGAATGCGAAGTATCGACACGCGTATTCGGGTAAATGCGTGAAAAGGCGAAACGTTTCATTCTTGCGCCAAGGAGGAAGCGAGTATCCGCTTTGAAAGGCGCTTTTTTCGCGATGTTGCTCCCTCAGCGTTTTCTCTCTTTCTCTCGCCTGCTCTTCTTGTGACACTCAAAGTCCAGGGAATGACATCAAAGAGGATCACACAGCAAAGCAGGTGCATATCCTCGATCGCTTGTTGTTACCCTGTTCTGAAAGCAAACGCAAAGAGCGACAAGGAGAAGTCAAGAGAAAGAAAGAAATATACACACATAAAGAAAAAAGTATTTCAAGAAAAATTGTAGCCCTTGAAAGAATATATAAAAAAATTTTATTTGCCGAAATTAAAAATGTTTATAAAAAATAATTAATTGAATTTATTAATATTAGCGGACTATCAAGTTTTTGCCAAAAATTTTTTTTGGCGAGGTTTTCATATTTATAGATATGTATGATAGAATATATTAAGATTTTAATATTTCTTTGTTAATTTCTCTAATTATAGGTAAAAAAATAAATTATGTAAATAATACAAATTATTTCATTTCAGAAACCAAATGCATACATAATAAAAATATAGATGGAATGGAATAAGTTAAAAACAAGTAGAGTTGTGCAAATTAGAAACTTGCACATTGCTTAAAAGGTGCGTTAAAGTGTCTGATATACATAGTTTTGGTGATTAATGAGCTTAATCGTTGTATAAATAACGATTTCCTTGAGTTTACATTAGAAACCTGCAATTATCTCTGAGCTATCTAGCGCGATAATTATAAGAAAAGTGAGAACTTTTTTACGCTTCGTCATGCATACGTCTGTTGACTTTTTTGATGAAGCTAATACTCTTCAATTAATACCGACGAAGACTGATAAAAAAATAATGGCAGAGGTGAAAGTTTTCTTTCTCGCTAAGATATTTTTTGGATGCGAGGTAAGGTAATTTGCGCGAACACATAAATACACAAAGAAATTGTGAAATGAAGTTAAAGTCGTAAAGTTCAAGTATTTTATGGCGGAGCGACAAGACTATGTCGATGCATGCTTAGAGCAGATATTCGATTTGAACGCATTCCAAATAGTGAGTCATGATTCGCGACTCGTGTCTAGCACGAAATTAACGTTGCATTCGACGAAAGCTATTTGGGAAACGAATTTAATATCGCGCAATCTATAAGATAAAAGTTTATTATTTTTCTTTTTTCATCTCTTTATTACTGCAATGGACGAAAATAACTAATTGGATTTTCACTACTCCACACATATATATTTATATTTTTAGAACATTGTCTTATACTTAAAATACTGACGGACTTCACATCATTTTTAATGACATGCCTTGTCACATTACCAAATATTTTAATGAGGCATATATATTTTGAGCTTTTGAATGTCTACTGTCATTTATTCTCTTTCGTTGTGGATAAATTATTATTTATTTGACAGAAGTAGATATAAGATATATAGAGATCCGTCTAAATAATTATCAACAATTAACTATTTTATAATTATTTTCTTTACATGTTACAGATAAAAAAACATATAGTTTAAATAAATATATTTAATTTATTTAATTTATTTACTTGATTTTTCTTTTGTGACGTGTATGGTTAATGAATATCTTAAGAGAGCAGCACCAGATGATACAGCTATTTATAAGCAAATTCGCGTCGCGTGCAAAAGCGCCAACATATATAACTCTCGCTTAAAAAAATAAAATATCCATGAGAACTTTCTCTGTCGACATAGGTTGCTCGCACCCTCGCAATTTAACGAGATAGGACGCGAGGTCTTTGATGCGGGGACGAGATGTAAGAGGCCAGAAAATACAACGTGCAACAATTATGCTCCTTTAAGCGTGAATGACGCGACAGAATGGCGGGGGCGATGTATCTCCTTTGTAACAGGAACTTCACAGTACGAAAGTTTTCGCGCTGCCGGGCAAAAACTTAGGGCTCGTTAAGGGGCGCACATTTGCATGACATTTATCACAACTCCTGCGAGGATCTTTAAGATACGTGCCAGCGCGCGGCCGGATAAAGCCGGAAGGATTAATGAGGACGTCTCTCGCATTTCGCACGGTTGTTAAGACGAAATATATATTCGCCCGATTCTTAAACCCCTCGGTACTTTGGTGTTACTTATTCGTGCGCGTTGTATATAATGTCATTCTCTTATAATGTACCTTGTAATATACCTTCGCGGAAGAATATCTGTCGTAGTACACAATTTTTTTTTAAAGAAGAATGAAATTTTTTTTTTTTTTTTTTCTTAGAAAGTTGTTGCGTGGCTATATACTGGAAATATTATTTTAATAAAATATTTCGAATAGTTGTTACAGAGAAAAATGTATGAGATTTTAATATAAGTATATATATATATATTTTTTATTCGCAAAAGTATTCACATTATTTCATTGTGCGAAAAACAATTTCTCTCGTTTCTTATTCGCAATTAGAATAGGATTGATTTTATTTTGAAGTGCTTTTTCTCGAAGCTTGCTTTTACGTGCGCAAAATGCAATAACGTGCCTATTGGCCACCTGGTGGCCATGCAATTTTAACGATTTCCGGTCTCGACGGATACGTGTTTGGCGGCCACGTATTATGTACATATCAACATAGCGATATAATTCTCGACGTAAAACAGACGTGGATCTCGACACGTGGCAACACACAGTACGTTCTCAATATTAAATAGTCGGAAAACTTGATTTTCCGTATATATTCTAATATTTTAATTATATGCATACAATTATTGCATATAATTTAGTTGTGCGCCAGATCTATACAATAATCAGTTGCATAATATACGAACATTAATGTCATATTATTAATATTAATTTGTGATATTTTATGCATCCGCATAATTATATTCTCAATCTATAGTAAAATATATCCGGATGAAATATTGGAAAATTATAATTCCGGAGAGAATTATAATTCATACATATCTTACATTTCATAATTTTAAATGTATCGAGTTTTAAAGATATTTTTTTTTAATATGAAGTACAGAGAAAACATTTTATCTTCTTTATTTTTTTTTTATCCCAAGTATTATGTAAATATAATATAGAGAGAGATATTTTATATAATATAGAAAACTAAATATACCATTTTTATAATTAATATGATTTCTAAATTAAGAAATTCAAAACAAAAAATTTTTTCATGTTTGCTTCTTGACATGTTCAGGACATCGATTTTTCGCATTCAATTCACGCGATGATGATTGTATGCGAAACAGATTCGACCTTCTCTCGCTAGCGTATATTTGCATGGCGTGAAACATAAACGATGTAGTGCGATGCAGCGACCATGGTGCCTCGCGCAAAAATCGAATTTGTATCGTGAAGTGCGAGATCGGGGCGTTATCGGCCAGTAGGCGTGTGCACAATTTTAACGATTTCCGGGCCGGTACTTTTGGCGTAACGCGTTTTGCACGTCGTCGCCGACGCTTGAAGGTCGACGCGAACCAGACGCCGTGATTTGAGATCTCGATTGGAATGATCGGTTGCGCTGGAATAGAATCGATGACGGGGCGCGTTATTATTAAGCGAAGCGACGACGGCTTGTCGATCACGAAATGATATTCGTCGACGTCACTGCCGCGTTTTTCCATATCATATTAAAGGGAATCTCTTCACTTACGAATACATTGCTGCGCTGTGTGAAACGATGCTAAAACTTGCAGTTTGTCCTCCATAATGAACATGATTGTGTGTGCACTGCTATTTCCTAGAACAAGTTTGAAATAAAAAAAGAAGAATTATTAATATATTGAATTATTCTATAAAAATTTTTTCGAACTATTCTTTTCTGAAAAAGAACTTTTATTTGTTACTTAATAGAATTGTGAGATTAAAAAATAGTTAATATAATATTAATAAAGAAATCATATAAATTTTTAGTCTCTTTACTCTATTTGGTCAGAAAAATTTTAATTGCTATCGTTTTCTAAATAGTAATCGATGAACTCAAGTTCAGATTTTTAAAAAGGTGTTTATTGCAACATTTTATTTATTATTTAATTATAACAAGATTTTATTTTTAATCAAACTATAAAGATTAATTATAGGAATATTTTATAATAAAAATATGACATTATATTAAAGATATTATATTAAAGACGTACTCTCTCTACAATTATGAATTCTTACTATACTTTATTTTAATATTAAGTTTTCCTTATAAACAAGAGAGATTCTCATTTTTAATTTATTAGAGTTTAGGGAAATAGCGATTAACACCCGGAACATTCTGTAGAACATGTCGATGGCGTAGCATTCGTGACACACAGTTGCCGCAATGACGGGCCCATGGATTACACACCCGACACGTGTCGCCGACACGTTTACCGGCGTTATGTTAACACACACGTGCGTCGTCGCGACTTCACCGCGTTGCGGCGTGTCTCGTAGTGCGTAAGTGCCGCGCGGAAATGCGTGTATACCCATGGTTTGCGAATGATTTACACGCGGTCGTGCGTAGCATGCACCGGCTGCGATTTGTTCGCACAGATGCAGCACGAAGATTTAATTTCGAGAGCGATCGTTAACCTGACGATCGTTAACGACTTTCGATTCGCCGGTTTTAATTATCGCTCGTCAAGTTTCGCCGCGCTTGTTTCCTTTTTTTTCTTTTCATCGCGAAATTCTGCTCAAGGGCGTACATCCAAGAGACCCGATATATCCGTCATCGATAGAAAACATGTTGGACGTAACGAAGAGGATGGTTTCGCCTTTCTCGGGCTTTTCATTCAGAACGAGTCGTGTCCAATTAAACGAGATATCTCTTGTGTGCTCCTTCTATTCATAAGGCGATATGTTTTTTTCGATATTTTGCCCTTAGCTAAAAGTGGAAATACGTCAAGCTTTGAACGAATATCCTTATTTATTGTGAATAACATATTGACTCTAAATTTAGCAAAATTAATAATAATATCTTGAAATTATAATGAAAGATTTAAACTAAAAAATAATATATTACTGGAGGAACTCAACATTAAAAAAAAAAAGGAAAATTGGCGGTTTCACTGGTAACAAGTTACATTCTGTGAATATAAATTATGATGATATTCCTTGCTTCTCATGGCAAGATATTTCGTTATTAAGCGAATAGACAAAATGAGCGCAATAAAAGAATACACGCGGGACACGAGTCGAGTCACCCTCGTTAGACAAGAATGTCTAATAATAGTAATAAAATGAAGCGGTGATGTACTTAGATGCCTCTCGAGGAATGCTAACGAGACGACCGTTCCCTCTCCATTTGCAATTCCGGTATACTTTGAGAGAAACGTAATATGGGAATACAATACAAGCCAAGTTTCACCGCGTTCGCAGAAGTCACTTCGTCGAGGCAATCCGGATTCGCGACGAGGCCACGGACGCGGCTAATTGAATTCGATCGAAAATGCTTGCCTAATTGCAGCGTCAAGTTCTCGTAAGCCTCGTCTTTGGAAGTTCGCTCTTCTTCTCCCTCTCCAATGCCTAATACCTCTTCTACTCCCGCGCTCGGCCTCTCTCGATTCGCCTTCCATCTTGAAAGTGGGACTGAACTTTCGAGTTTATAGAACTGAATCTTAAGCGGCCAACCCTCCAATTTAAACTTGGGCCGCGATGTTATCGTTCTGCCCTTGAAAGCGGGTTACTTTTGCTAGCGTTGGGACACAACGCCATGTTTCTCCCCAATCTTCGTGATGGCTCATGAATCATTTTAATGTGGCGACCGCGATGTGCTTTTCTCGCTTCAGATGTATGCTGAAGTCTTTTAACGCATTCGTGATATTGTTACATATTTGGTATTATTCGGTATTTGTTGCAAAATATTGTAGGAATAGTATTTAGTATTTTAATGAATATGAGAGCAAATTTTCCTTAGCGAATATGAAAATAATTATTTGTGACAATTTTTTTTTCATGATTTTTTAGTATGTAATATATATTTGCGTAAAATATTTTTGGAACATCTTTGTAAAAACATTATTGAAAATAATAGACGTTTATAAAGTTTTAATTATTTATCTTAATTACGACGAGGGCAAATATTGATACACGGAAAAAAATGCTGTTGCTTCAATTAAAGTCGATGTCACGGGCTGTCACGAACATATATAGTTCATTCAATGATATTTTTATTGGACCAAATATCTGGATTATTAAAACAACTATCTGATATTCATCAGATGGTTGTTTTAATAATCCAGATATTTGGTCCAATGAAAATATCATTGAATGAACTATATATGTTCGTGACAGCCCGTGACATCGACTTTAATTGAAGCAACAGCATTTTTTTTCTGTATGCAGTAATAAATATATTACGCAGTACAATATCGATTTTCACAGAAAAAATTAGTATTTCTTCCAATTTTTCTTCCGTTAGAAAATTATTTGTAATCTTGTTGAATGATATTATCATAATTTTTGTCTGTAATAACATCTCGCGGTCGCGACATAGACGGAAGCACGCAAGAATAAACTGCTTGAAACGGACAGCGGCAGATATCTCAGCTGTTCTATGCGACCTGTCTCGACTGATTTTTCGAGCGTACGTCCGAACTGTCAACAGTCTGACGGAGCGGGGAAAGACTCCAAGAAAAACGAACGGCCGCCGGGTTAGAAATGAATCATCGGCCGGCTCATAGCACTACCGTCGACGATTAATTCATCGTCGACCAATCGTTATTACAGTCGACGGCCGACAGATTGCTTGGCGTGGTGGAAAAAAGCTTTTACGCGCCATTTTCGTGTCCGGGACGAACGATCGCTTGGGGCCAGCATGAGATCGTGGCGATGAGAACTTAATTGCCGGGAAGAGAAAGAGAGAAACGGAAAGAAGCCGGGGTTCCCATGTGGTGTCCCACGATAATTCGGAATTTCATAGCCGTACTACTCTTCGCGGCAGAAATAACTCGGGGCATCATATGAACGCAGCTTGAAAGCGCCAGCATGTAAACACCTCGTAATCGACTAATCGGTCGTGATGCTGGAAGTAGATATTCATATGCCAGGGAGTTTCGAGATATATACTTGTCGTGAAAGAACAGGAATAGACTTTTTAATATTCAGCATTGAGCACTTTAATTAAATCACAAATGAGACTTCTAGAAAGTAAAGTTTGAATTTTAGTATGACAATAGCGCTTTCAATTAAGGCATTTATTCACGCTTATAATTCAAGGATTGTATTTTTTACAAAACTCCAGTGAAGAAAAAGAATCTATGTCGAATTGATCCAAGAATTTATTATGAAAGTTATTATATGAAGTTTTCGAAATAATTGTTTATTATTATTATTATTATTATTATATTGTATTTTTGTTGAATATATATTGATGTTGCAGCAAAGATGCGATTTGAAATTTTCCGAGTTACATGTACATCATTAAAAAACAAAGCTTCCTCTATGAGGAAGCAAAATGACTCCATTCACGATTGTTCGATAAAGTTTTTGAAAAAGTTTGCCTCTTATGCTGCATATGCTGTACTTATGTGTCGCGAAATAAATTTCCATGTCGTATCCCTGCGTTTATTGCCGCGTTTATTGCTCGCTGCTACGCGCAGCAGCTTCAGAAACGGTTTACGAAGTGCGGATTTACGAATGTCGCGTCTCCGAATCCTCCGTCATGCTCGTACGACGATCATAAGAAGATTTTATTGTTACAACTTTATAACATAGATAGTTGTTTCGCAGCGTGTCATTTATGTCTGAATAATCTTGAGTGTGACTACTTGAATGTGTACATCGGTTGTCTGACTTATAATGGCAACTCTTCCTTATGTACAGAAAAAAATATTCTTCTTTCAAATCTTTAAATCGCGCTCGAAGGAAATAATTTATCGATCTAAATATTACTGTGATTCTTACGTTATCCATTTGCATACATATCGCTTTAAAAATCGTCAAGTTTATGACAATTAATTGAAGTTAATTTTTTTATTATAAAAATATTAGAGTATACACATTTCTGTAACGTACATGTTCGACTTTTTATCGTGTACGATAAATCGATAAACTATGAATAGAGAGTTAACTTATTGCTCTTTGAAACATAGGTATTTGTATTGAGAGAAAGTATTGGAAATGGTATTGTCACCGCGAAAATTTGCTGATATTGTGCTTCAGAACAATATTCACGTTTTTCCCTCGAGATGCGAGCTTTTGGCTTCGCAATCAAAGATCGTCGGGAAGAAAAATGAAAAGATTAAGTGAAGCACGAAACGAATGTCAGCCACATTACGGCGAAACTCGATTTCGGGACGAGGGAAAAAGAGCAGATTCTAATTGTACTCAACGCAGTCGATGCGGCGTGTAGCGCGATAAAAGGGTCGGCGATAAAAGACAGCGAGACGGCTAACGGAATATAGGAGAGATATTTTTGCGAGAGACGCTGTTATTGTCCGGGCCCTCGTGAACGAATGTCTCAATGTCCACCTTCGTGCAGGACAGTTGATAAATGCACGCGCAATTTGACGCGGTCGGCACGGGTTCTCTCCCTTGCGATACGTCTATCTTCGCGTTCGTGTGTTTACACATACTCCCACTTGTTTTTTACGCGCATGTAGGTTTTACGATGGAGCACATTTCTTCGAGAGAATCGAGGAAGAATTGAGAAAACGAAGGCAGATGTGTATTTGAGTCGTGCGATTGTGTAAGAAAATTATCTACTTATAAGACAATAATCGATTTTGATGAATTAAAAACGTAAATTTATATAATAGATATTATGTATATAATGTTTTTTTATCAATCTCTCATAGATAATTTCGCTATATTATTTAGAGAATTACCATGGGAAAAAAATTACTCTCCGGTGGCAAACTTTCGAATGAAACACTTTTGTATGATAGGCAGACAGTAATCCAAACGAACGG